CTTGTTAAGCACAAGACGAAGCTGGAAAAAGTCCAAATGTATGCTACTAGACTATCCCAGAACTAAGAGGCATGAGTTATGAGGAAAGGCTGCGGGAAATGCACCTTACGACACTGGAAGACAGAAGAGTAAGGGGGGACATGATCACAACCTACAAAATCCTCAGGGGAATCGACCGGGTAAACAAGGATGAACTATTCAACACTGGAGGACACAGGTGGAAGCTGAGTACCCAAATGAGCCACAGAGACATTAGAAAGAACTTTTTCAGTGTGTCAGAGTAGTTAGTAAATGGAATGCACTAGGAAGTGATGTGATGGAGGCTGACTCCATACACAGTTTCAAATGTAGATATGACAGAGCCCAGTAGGCTCAGGAATCTGTACATCAGTTGATTGACGGTTGAGAGGCAGGACCAAAGAACCAGAGCTCAACCCCCGCAAACACAACTAGGTGAGTATAACTAGGTGAGTACACACATACACACACACACACACACACACACACACACACACACACACACACAGAAGAGTAAGGGGAGGCATGATCACTACCTACAAAATCCTCAGGGAAATTGACCGGGTAGATAAGGATAAACTGTTTAACACTGGTGGTACACGAACAAGGGGACACAGGTGAAAACTGAGTGTCAGAGTGGTTGACAAATGGAATGCATTAGTAAGTGACGTAGTGGAGGCTGACTCCATACACAGTTTCAAGTGTAGATATGATAGAGCCCAATAGGCTGAGGAACCTGTACACCTGTTAATTGACGGTTGAGAGGCGGGACCAAAAAGCCAGAGCTCAACCCCTGCAAGCACAATTAGGTAAGTACTATTAGGTGAGTACACACACACACACACACACACACACACACACACACACACACACACACACACACACACACACACACACACACACACACACACACACACACACACTGAAAGCAGCCCGTAGCAGCTGTCTATCTCCCAGGTACCTATTTACTGCTAGGTAACTGGGGCATCAGGGTGAAAGAATCTTTGCCATTTGTTTCTGCCATCACTGGGGATCGAACCCGGACCCTAGGATTACGAGCCCAGAGCGCTGTCCACTCAGCTATCAGGCCTCCGCGATCGATGTACTCACCTAATTGTGTTTACGGGGGCTGAGCTTTGGCTCTTCGGTCCCGCCTCTCAACCGTCAGTCAACTGGTATACAAATTCCTGAGCCTACTGGGCTCTATCATATCTACATTTGAAACTGTGTTTGGAGTCTGCCTCCACCACATCACTTCCTAATGCATTTTATTTGCTAACTACCCTGACACTGAAAAAGTTCTTTCTAATGTCTCTGTGGCTCATTTGGGTACTCAGCTTCCACCTGTGTCCCCTTGTGCGTGAACCATCCCATGTTAAATAATCTATCTCTGTCTACCCTGTCAATTCCCTTGAGAATCTTGTATGTGGTGATCATATCTCCCCGAGCTCTTCTGTCTTCCAGCGACGTGAGGTGCAGTTCCCTCAGCCTTTCCTCGTAACTCATGCCTCTTAGTTCTCGGATTAGTTTAGTGACATACCTCTGAGCTTTTTCCAGTTTCGTCCTGTGCTTTACAAGGTACGGACTCCATACTGGGGCCGCATACTCCAGGATTGGTCTTACATATGTAGTATACAAGGTTCTGAAACATTCCTTACACAAGTTTCTGAAGGCAGTTCTGATGTTAGCCAGCTCGCATACGCTGCCGATGTTATTCTTTTGATGTGGACTTCAGGAGACAGAGTTGGTGTGATATGAACTCCTAGATCTTTCTGTCCGTTTCATGAAGGACTTCATCTCCCATTCTGTATCATGTGTCTGGTCTCCTATTTCCTCCCCCTAGTTTCATTACCTTACATTTACCTGGGTTGAAGTGTATGTGGCTGCGTGTGTATATGACTGTGATTGGGTGTGCGTATGTCTATGGCTGCGTGAGCGTTTGTCTTTGGCTGTGTGTGCGTGTGTATGAGTGTGTGTGTATTCACCCTATTTAAACTCACCTACTTGTACTCACCTATTTGTGCTCAGCTATTTGTGCCTGCAGGATCGAGTATTGACTCTTGGATCCCGCCTTTCTAACCGTCGGTTGTTTACAGCAATGACTTCTGTCCCATTTCCCTATCATACCTAGTTTTAAAATTATGAACACAGTTTGCTTCCACAACCTGCTCCTTAAGTGCATTCCATTTTTCCATTACTCTCATGCTAAAAGAATACTTCCTAACATCTTTGTGACTCATCTGATTTTCCAGCTTCCACCCATGTCCCCTCATTCTGTATCTATTACGTGTGAACATTTCATCTATTTCCACTTTGTCAATTCCCCTAAGTATTTTCTACGTTCCTATCATATCCTCCTTCTCCATTCTTTTTTCAAGTGTCGTAAAGCTCAGTTCCTTCAGGCGCTCTTCATACCCCATTCCTCTTAACGCTGGGACCAGCCTCGTCGCAAACTTCTGAATCTTTTCCAGTTTCCTTACGTGTTTCTTCAGGTGGGGACTCCATGATGGCACAGCATACTCTAAGATTGGTCTCACGTACCAATGGGGCGCCTGACATCTGGGTGGACACCGCTTCGGATTCGTAGTCCTGAGGTTCCAGGTTTGATCCCCCGTGGAGACAGCGACAAATGGCCAAAACGCGTCTTTCACCCTGATGCCCCCTGTTACCTAGCAGTAAATAGGTACCTGGGTGTTAGACAGCTGCTACGGGCTGCTTCCTGGGGGTGGAGGCCTGGTCGAGGACCGGGCCGCGGGGACTCTAAGCCCTGAAATCATCTCAAGATAACCTCAAGATAATGTAGGCAGTGTAAAGTGCCCTAAAAGAATTCTCGCTTAGCTTTCTGAATGATGTTCTAACTTTTGCCAGTGTAGAGTACGCTGCTGTCATATGGGTGTGCATATGTCTTTGGTTGCGTCTGCGTATGTCTGTGGGTGTGTGCTCACAGCGATAGATATATGGGGAAATGGGAGAGCATAAAAGCTCACTCTTCTGTTGTGGAAATACTCCCGACATTGAACCTCTTTTAACGATCTGCCGTGGTCTAGAGGTAGAGTGCTGGTCATGTCAAGGTGCGCAAACACCTGGCTTTCCAAGGTTCTAGTCCGTTCACAGGAGAGTGAGCGCTTTGTGTTTCATTACCCTAATGAATCCCTCCCTTGCTCCTAACTAATTTTCAGGTCTTAAACCTCTGCATTAGTGCCTCACTCCTAACTCATTCTACTTCCTTGCCACCAGCACTGATACAAGCAACGGGTTGGTTCCCATTTCCGGCCTTGATATCATTCATATTGTTTACAATATCCTCTATTCCTGCTCCCGGATATCAAGACCATAACTTGTTCCCTCCATCCCGGGCACAAAATGTTCTACCCAAATACCTCACCTGGGAATCACCCACAACCAAAATTCCCTTCCTTCCTTCACCGGCGCTCCCTCCGTTGACTTACTTTTCGGGTGAACTGCGGGCTTCCTACGGGATATTAGAATGACCTTACTTTAATCCCTCTCCTTCTATGCAATATTTCTTCCTCTTTATCCTACAGCTTTCATCGTTTTCTTGTATAAATCATTACTTAATGTTTAACTTAAAATCATCTACCTCTCCTGTTTTATAGCAGGAACCGTTTACGAACCGTTCTGCTGGAACGGTTCAGCAGGAATCGTTCCAGCAGAACTCGCTTCATTTATATACAAATATCTCGTTATCTCGCTTCATGCAGGTCGGCGTTCAATCCCCGACCGTCCAATTGGTTGGGCACCATTCCTTAACCCGTCCCATCCCAAATCCTTATCCTGACCCCTTCCCAGTGCTATATAGTAGTAATGGCTTGGCGCTTTCTCCTGATAATTCCCTTCCCTTGTCTTCTAGCGGCAGCTCAAATTCACAGCGGTTGTGCAATTTTTGTTAACATTGTTGTTTATATTCCATCTTGCTACTGCAATTAGTAATTATGTACAAATTAACTGGTTAAGTGGTAATCAATGAGCAAATTAATAAACAAACATTGAAGATATTAAAGTCCCCAGGGCCAGAATAGTGTTTGCCAGAGCTTGTAAAAGAGCTTGCAGAGCCCCTATCTTGCTTATTGAATAAATGGTTAGAGTCTAGCAGAGTTCAGGAGCCGGGGAGGGTTGCTTATGTAGTTCCCATATTCAAGAATGGAAATAGATTTCTTGCAATGGACATTGCAAGAGATCATTGTCCAATTAGCTTAATATTCATTGTAGGTACATTGCTTGAACTGATAATCACAAAATTCATTTGTTTGTCTTTAAAAACATAGATTAATAAATGAAACGCAATGTAGTTTCACTAAGAACAGACCATGTTTCGCTAAATTACTTTCACTCTTGTCTTGTTTATTTTAAGCAGTTAATTGCAAAGAATATCTGGGTGGGGGGGTCATGATTAGTAGAAATTTAAAGCCAAACAATTTGTATATATATGTATGATTTATGCAGTACAGTTTTGGTCATCATACCTTAGGATTAACATCAATTCACTAGAACGAGTTCAGCGAAGGATAACTAAGTTTATCCCACAAACTAGAAACATTCCATATTAAGAAAGGTTGAAAAACTTAGTTTACATTCGGTAGAAAAGTGAAGAGTTAGGAGTGACAGAAATGAATGGGCATAACAAGGAGGATTGTAATAAGCTAATAAATATATCAACGCAAAATAGAACACGAAATAATGGATATAAATTGAATGGGTTTAAATTTATAAAAGACCTGGGTAAATACTAGTTTGAAAACAGAGTTGTTGATTTGTGGAACAAATTACGAGGTTACATAATACACGTGGGATCCCTTGATGGTTTCAAGCGTAGGATAGACATAGATAGATGAGGTTGGGTGGATATAAACAGGAGCTGCCACGAGTGAGGCAGCAGGCCTTCTGCAGTGTCCTTAACTCCTGTTCTCATGTTCATATAGCTGGTATTGACTGTCAGCTTCTCATGGTGGAAGTTGGCGAGTATGAGGCCAAAGGTTCATAAAGGTGGTATTGACTGCCAGCTTCTCATGGTGGAAGTTGGCGAGTATGAGGCCAAAGGTTCATAAAGGTGGTATTGACTGTCAGCTTCTCATGGTGGAAGTTGGCGTGTATGAGGCCAAAGGTTCATAAAGGTGGTATTGACTGCCAGCTTCTCATGGTGGAAGTTGGCGTGTACGAGGCCAAAGGTTCATAAAGGTGGTATTGACTGTCAGCTTCTCATGGTGGAAGTTGGCGTGTATGAGGGCAAAGGTTCATAAAGGTGGTATTGACTACCAGCTTCTCATGGTGGAAGTTGGCGAGTATGAGGCCAAAGGTTCATAAAGGTGGTATTGACTGCCAGCTTCTCATGGTGGAAGTTGGCGAGTATGAGGCCAAAGGCAAGCCAAGTAATGAGCTGCGATAGTGTAACAATTGACATGCAGGCTTAGTGCATTTTGATAATTATTGCATTAACAATTTGTTTCAGGCTGTTCTGCGGTACAACATTCCTGAGGCTGAGGCGAGTGACGCCTTCGACATGACCGTCAACACAAACACCGTGCCGGATGACAAGTGCGTGACCAAGCGCATCACTGTGTGCGCCTCCTACCGCCTCCCGGACGGCAAGTCCAATATGGCCGTCATTGAGGTCAATCTCATTTCCGGTTACATCCCAGAGAAAGATGATCTGAAGGAACTTCTTAAAAAGGATAAAAATATAAAGCGATATGATGTAGATGGCAGCAAGATAGCTTTCTATATTGAAGAATTAACTGCTAAAGACACTTGTGCAAACTTCCGTGTAATAAGAGACATAGAGGTGGAGGAGGTCAAGCCCGGCACAGTGCGTCTCTATGACTACTATCAGCCAGAGTTCCAGATCTCAAAGGTCAGTCCATCGTTCCGGGTTGTCTTTCCTTCCTCATCTTTCCTCAACAACAAAATGCTATTTTTTATTCTGCTAAATATTTAAAACTTAAATATAAAAAAATGAAATTAAATGAATTGACTTTCCGATAGAATATAATTTTTTGTAATAATTAAATTTGTCTTATTTAAAATGTATTGCATCACATTTTTATTACTGGAATAGTTTCCAGTTTCAGTACAAATTGATTTTGCTCTGTAGCTTTTGAACTATTCATGTGTTCTTTCATAGCACTCCTTCGTTATAGCTAGACCGAAATTATACTTACAGATCTCTTAGAGCTTATGTATAATTATGGGTTGAATGTAACGAAATGGCCCTTTTTGGGCGGCCTAAATAGCTTGCCAGGCCCCGGCACTACTGACCCGTCACACCTCTGGACTTGTTCCCACCCACCCAGACACAGGAAAATAATCTGTTGAGCTCATAGTGGCGATAGGGATCCTAGAGCAACCTCATAATCGGTAAATACTGCCCAAGAAGTACTTGTGAACAAAGACAAATTGGGTGTCATTATGAGAGAGAACAGGAAACAAGGGAAGAAGTAGGTTGCTGAATGCCAACATACTACGAGCCGTCTTAAAGCAGCCCCGAACAACACAGGGAACAACTACAGGAACAGGGAGCAAACGAGGCCGCCCAAACAAGCGAATTTCATGACTTTAAATGTTTGATTTCTGGGCTGGTCTTCGGTAGCTTTCCGGAGCAAATACCCAACAACGCCTTACAAATACAAATATTTATTCAGGTAAAGTACATACATACAGGGTGAGATACAAAAATTGATGGATTTATAGATATAGCTAGTACATACAATGCCTAAAGCCACTATTACGCAAAGCGTTTCGGGCAGACTTAGTGACGAAACCAACTTTGAACTGCAAGAGAGAGTAATAAAGAAGCACAAAGATGAAAGGCTGGCCAGTGAGGGGGTGAGAGGCCGGGACCACAGAGCTTGGGGGGAAGAACAGCTGATAAAGGTATCCCAGCTCCACAGACAAGGCAAGGGACTAGCAATATGCAACAGATAACGAGAAGCCAACACTGTAATAGCGTCTTTAACCCACAGCTCGAAAGTGTACAGCACACAGCTCTAAATATCTTACTATCACACCTAGACAGTGGCTTGTATGAGGGAAAGATCACAACACTGTCTGCAGGTATCAGTATAGTAGAGGACAAGGTCACCTGACACAACCTGACCTATACCCAACATGTAAACATTAGCGCATTAAAAAGTGTGACTGTTATTCTCAAGGACCGACAGACGCTCGCCACACAATTCCTGAACTGACTCTAATTGTTTCAGTGAATATCGTAAATAAAACAATTTATGGTGTTTCACCCCCACAAAGGGAAAGAGGAGGAGTAGAGATGTTCTCTATTGAAACCCTAACCCCCCTCCTCCACACATAAGGGAGGAAGGATGGGTACAAAGGCCCTTTATAAAAACCTTGATCCCCCAATAAAAGTTTGGGGGGGGGGGGGTTGATGGGAAAGCATCTTGATGGGGTTTGATGATGGGAAAGTTTGATTCGATGGAAAACGAACTCCCATCGTTTCACAAACAATGGACGAACTCAGAGGAAGGGACTAGGCTTCTACAATACCGTCAATACCCCCACAAGAATCCTCCGCTAATATGTCAGAAACAGCAGAAGTCTGAGGCCAAGGTTGTTTAATAACCCTTATCAAAGGCGGTGGCAGAGGCAAGTACAGATGCCAGCCGATCTCCCAGCCCCAGACAATAAAACTAAGAATTTAACTCAAGTCGTTATACCAAAACTTCAGGATTCTTAAAAAAGAGGAGGCTCGCCTCCCACAGTGTTGGCCACAATTGAAGACCTGCAAAAGCCAAAACCTTGAGGTGTCTGGATGGAGTACAATAAGTGTCTGATGCTGTCATCCTGGAGGGCGGCTCAGCCAACATAAACAACTAACAACAACAAATTTTGCATCCCTGAAAGCTGCAAGCAGCATTAACCGAGTTAATTCAGCTTGCATTAACGAATCAAATGATACAGAAAATCCCAAAACATACAAAACATTATTATGAAAAATGTTTGGTTAACCAGCCACCCAATCCCAATGGGAACTATATGGGTGATTCATTAATAAACGTCCAGACGCACCGGACACAAGTGGAGCGTGGGCCAACTCAAGAAAGTACAAACGAGGAAAAAGTAGACGGTGCCACTGATATCAATCCCACGAATCCATATCGTCCACTCAAGTGGAATCGTATAAACGAGCAAGATACATCGTTACACAGGGCACGACGAAGCACGAATATACTGAAAACATAACAAAATATGCACACAAGGCACACCTACCTGACTTGTGGTCACTTAATGGAACAACATCCTGCTTTCTCTTGTCCAAACTGCGTTGTCCATGTCCAGCCTTAAACCTCCTTGTCGATGGCCCTGATTTTCTAGCTGTTCGTGTGTCTTCCTTTCCTAATCTCTCTAGGAGTCGTTGTCTCTGATTACAATCCTTGGTGAATTCGATACCTATGATATCATTCACCTTAGGCCCCCTTCTGTTTTCGTATTGGCATCTTGAGTGATATCATGCTCCGTTTGAAAATCTTGCAACACAGACGGTGCTACATTGACTTCTGGCTTGGCGCCTTCTTTGATAATTATTTGTGTGCACAAGGACATTTAGAATCTCCCCTCAACAAGTCTGGGTTGAGGAACCAAGTATTATTCAGACACCGGGGCAACTGAAGCCCACACTATAAGACGATAGCTCTGCTGCAGAAACAGGAAACCAGCTGATGTCAGGGAAGATAAATCTGAAATACATTCAGGGCGAACTACATCCTTCCTATCTTCTTTCTTCTTAACTGAACCACAATCGTGAAAAGTAATGACAAATAAAACTAAGGAAGCTATCTGCCCCCCACCCCATAAGATAAAGACAAAATATGTCCCAAGTAACGTTAACTCCTCCTATGTTAGACAACAATGATGGTCTTTACAAAAGAGAGTCTTGGGGCCAGCCATGTGAGTCAACCGGACTCGCAAGTGAAACAAACACTAAGCTGACTTTAGCTGCCATTTGGTGATGCTCTTGGATACTAATGCAAGTTATCTTGACATTGGCAAATTACCGTACTCTTCTTCCATCGTTTTTCCCTTATCAAGGTATGTAGTTTGTTTTGCTGATTGTCTAATTTGCTATACTGTCTGAAAACTCTGGTGCAGCGAGGAGTTTGTAAAAAATGGTAGACGTTGCTGTGAAAGGTGAGAAGCAATAGGTGAAAGAGGTGCAACTGGTTCAGGAGACTAAACTTTATTATTTATATGGTCGTAGTTTACCACAACCAAAATATTAATATATATTTTCTTCTCTCATTGCAGAGCTACACGCTTCCTCCTCCAACTGAGTGCCGCTAGGACATACACTTCTGATAATATTCCTAGTATACTAAAATGATGCTAGGATCAATAGCTTGTGCTGGGATAACAGCTGATGCTAGGACTGACATTCATTCATTCATAAATGTCTAGAAGATTCCAACGTTGCAAAAGTGGTGGACTATGTTAACGAACACATCCGACTTCATCCTACAGTTATCATCTCTCCGTTATTATCTGTTTGCCTTGCAATAATGTTTGCCTATAATTTTATTACCAATCAAAAGGGACATCTGCCAGTTACTTGTGTATGTATTATCTCGTGTCCTTTTTGGTTATTGTGCATTTTAATTTTCCATCGCTAATGAAAAGTCTGTTTACATGTGCGTATATCAGCAGTATCAGTTGTGTGTATTCTGAGTGAGAGTAAACATGTGCCTTATTGTTTGCAACTGGAACAATTAAACAGTTTTTGTCAAAAAATAGTATAATCCTTCTCCGGAAATGCCATTTATTGTACATTACTCCTCTAGTTTTTGGCAACCACGGCAAGTCTTTCCATTTGCTCCGATCCTGTGCTGTCTTAACCCTTTGCAGGTATAAGGCTAAATATTTGTTGCAGCCAAAATTGAGAATATTGAGATTTGTAGTTTTGTCACTGACCTATAGAGAGAAACCTGGTGTTTCCATCTGTACCAGTGAACTTAATCCTACTTGGAACTTTAGTCGAAATAGTTGATGAAGAGGTATTGTAATTTTAGAGTAAGAGGTACAGATTTTTGGTGAAGACTAACGTCTCTAATTAAACTAATTCATAGAGTATAGTCTCCACAATGTATAATATCGAGTTCATTCGTTCATTGCCTTGTATAGTTAGTTTAAGTTAATAATCCATTGTGTCGGGGGACAGACAGCCAGTGTATATTTATTACATAGGCTCATATCGAGGTCCTCCCCCATCCCCCCGGGGTCGAACTACTGACCCTTCCCAAGATGAAGCCCCACAAGCAGCTGACTAACTCCTGAGTACCTACTTGCTGCTAGGTGAACAGAGTCATTAGGTGATTTTCGGAGTTCCCGATTGTGAGTCGGGAACGAACCCGACTGTACTACCAGGACCCTAAAGTCTCTATCATGTAAATCAACTTAAAATATTATGCTGAGTGCTATTCTTGCGCATATTTGAAGGTGATTGAACACTGTTTGAAGTTGAGTTTTTATATAGAAATGGAAAATAATAGAAAACAGAGATGTCTTGCATTTTACCCATATCGACCTCCAGTTTGAAAATACGATGCATATTGGAAATATTACTCCTGACCGTTATTTTTTACTGTAATTCAGGGTGATTGCACATATTTGAAGTTTCAAATTACATCTTTTTATATGGGAAATATGACTATAGGTGAAAATAGAGATTTGTCATATTTTACCCATATTGATCTGAAGTTTCAAAACTATGATGGCTATTTAAAATCTGATGCTTTAGTGCAATTTTTGTAGCGTAATTCAGGGTAGTTGCACACATTTGTAAGTTTCACAATGGATGAGAAGCCTTTTAAAAGACAAATGCGATCAGTAATTAAAGGAAAGTTATCTGACTGGAAATGTCCCCAGCGGAGTACCATATAGTTCACTACCAATAGTAATGTGTATTAACTATATAAATGGATATCTGCTAGAGGGCATACAACATTATATGTTTGCAGATGATGCAACATTGGAGAAGGGAGTTTGGGAATTAGAAGACTGTATTGACCTCCAAAATGATCATGACAAAGTGAGTGAGTGTAGCTATACATGGCGAATTGATTATGTATCTCATTCCATTATGTAAACAAATATAATGGAATGCAGAATAGCGGAAAACAGGCCAAACACAACCTACACATTATGTGAAAACATAATAAACACCTGTGACAAAGTTTTGGGGTGATTCTGAATAGTAAACATTTTTTATAATATAAAATTATAAAATAAATACAATAAAAGGAAAGCTACTAAAGAACATTGCGGTACACAAACACCACCAGACACAGTGGGAGAAACAGTGAACCAAACCAAGATACAAACATACACCATACCAATACACAAAAAAATATAAATACATACACAACGTTAATACAAAACACCGGTTCCCAGGGCACATTAGATAGTTGCGCACTAAATTTACTCGAACCACACAAGTGGAACAAAGATAAGGTACCACAACAACCACACAAGTGGAACACAAATAAGGTACCACAACAACCACACTACTGGAACACAAATAAGGTACCACAACAACCACACTAGTGGAACACAGATAAGGTACCACAACAACGACACTAGTT